GGTTTTTTTGTGGAGCCTTTGGCATTTTCTACATATAGTATCATACCGTCTTGGTAAATAAATAATAATTTTTCTTCTTCCCTGATTTAGATGACCTTTCCAATCCTTTACTCCCTTGACTAATAGTCCAGTGTTGAATAGCAGTGGAGAAAGTAGATGGCCTTGTCTTTTTCCTATTCTCTTCATTTACAGTGATATTACCTGTGGGTTGGTCATAAATGTCCTTTTTGTAGGTGTTGCAGATGGTTAAAGTGCTCAGATACTACCCCATGCTAGTATCTGAAGACAGGCAGAGCAGGGGTTGAAATTAACTCAAGGCATTTAACACCACCTCTGCTATACTGAGGAAGTTTCCCGTTATTCCTAGTTTTTTTGTTTGTTTTTTTTTAAATTCCTAGTTTTCTTAATCTTTTTTTTTTTTTTTTTGTGAAAGAGTGTGCCAAATGCCTCTTAAGCCTTAATTTAGATGGCCATGTGGTTATTTTCCATCATTCTATTAATGTTATGCTTTATATTTCTTACTCTTTTTAATATGCTATTAGTTCCCTTTGCTATTAGTTTCTTGAGATGACTGCATCTGTTTTCACAAAAGATAGTGTCATTGATGTTACTTTATGCTGTCAAGTCAGAAGTCAGAATTAGTCATAATTGACATTCCAGTGAATTTTAATCACACAGGAAGAGATTGCCCATCCTTCTGAAGAGCAGCTGGTGGCTTCAAACTGTGTGCCTTTGGAATTGCAGCACAGCTTCTTACCCCTATGCCACAGCAGCACAACATATGGTAAATGTGAAATTTTCTTGTACTGTCTTTATCATGCTAGTGCTGCCCTCATCCATACAATGGCTAAGAAGTGCAGACGCTTCTGTTTTTATTTTTTAAATAAAATTTTTATATTGGTTACTTTCTTTTTTTTTTTTTTAATTTAGGTTGTTTATTTTTTATTTCAATGAACATCTACAGAGATTTTGGGATTCCATTCATTCATGTTGCACCCTTCTCCCCGCACAAACACCCCCCCCCCCCATTTGCTCCTCTCCTTGAAAAGCAAAAGAAAAACTCCCTCATTGGTTACTTTCAAAGTCCATAACATTGTTTTTCACACCGGATCTTTCCCATCAAATCATGTTACTATGATTTCCCCTTCTTTTCTTGTTTTGGTTTTTTTTTTTTTAAGAGTTTGAGCAGAATTTGTTTTAATTTCTTAAAAATATTTGGTTAAATTTCTTAGTGAAACCCTCTGTTCCTTGGCTTTTCATTGTTGGAAAGTGTTTTATTCCTATTTAATCCCTTTTATTTGTTGGAATTTTCTATTTAATTTAGAGTCAGTTTTTATAGTAATATTTTTTAATGTTTTGGGTAGTAGTATTTTTTAAAATTTTTTTATATAGTAATCATGTCTCTATTTCATCTAATTTGTCTAATATGTTGACAAATTATTCTGTATCATTGGCTGTTGTTGTGACTAACTGACACATTACTGACCCTCCATAAGCTTTCAGAGGTAATTAATTGCACGGGAGGAGATTGTCCATCTTTATCTTGCAGAGCAACTAGTGGAACTGTGTGCCTTTGGTATTGCAGCACAGCTTTACCATTAGGCCACTAGAGCTCCTTTCCAGAGGGACACACTTGCTATCAATAGTTCAGTTACTGTGTCACTCCATCTCATCCTTGGTCTTCTCTCTTGTGCTATTCCTCCACCTTTCCAAGCATGATGCTTCTCCAAGGATTCCTTTTCTGTTGGTAGAGTTGGTAATAATGTCACCACTTCAATTTCTGATTTTAGTTTTTGTGTCCTCTTCTCTACCTTTTTCTTGTCAGTCAACCTAAAGGTTTAGTGATTTCACTGATGTTTTCTTTATTTAAAAAAAATACTATATTTTACTATTTTTTTTGTGTGTGTATAGTCAAATAGGATCTGACAGGTACAGGAGTAGATTGCCCTTCAGAACATCTGGGGGATTAGAACCACATACTCTGGGACTGTAGTGCAGCTTCTTCTTACCACTAGGCCACCAGAGCTCCCTTATTCACTGATATTTTCAAAGAACCAATTCCTCCCATCACTTCGCTCTGTTGTTTTTATATTCTTTATTTCATTTGTCTCCTAACTCTTCTTCTTTTTTTTTCTTCCCCATCTGGTACTTTTGGGATTGCTCTTCTTTTTCTCATTGCTTGAAGTATACAGTTACTAATTGGAGTTGTTGTTGTTTTGGGCCATAGAGTTGCTTGCAACTTATAGCGACACTGTATACAGAAGCCCAGAAACTTGCTCTATCCTGTGCCAACCTAATTGTTTCTGACACACCTATCCTCATTACCCCAGTCACTGATCATCCCTCTCATTGATGATCTTTCTTTTTTTCTCTGGCCCTCCACTCTTCCAAGCATGATGTCTTCCTGGAGAGGGTTAAACCAAACTGCTCTTTGGAGGCAAGGATTCTGAGGTTTCATCTGACATACTTTGGACATGTTGCAAGGTGGGACCAGTCCTTAGAGAGCGATTAATTTGAGATCTTACTTTTTAAATATATCAGCATTATGACTACGTTTTCTCTCTGTGCTATCTTTGCTTCGTTTTATGTGGATTTTTCTTTTGAAGAGGTAAAATATAAAGGAAAAGGGGAAACTGTGCTACATTTTTCCAGGAGGACAAAATTTTTGGTTGGAAACTGTAAGTGGTGGGTAACAGCATAAAAAAAGGAAAGACTAAGTCTTACCAGATGGAGCAGCATTTGGAAATGCAGGGATTTCATTAATTCATTGTGCGATTCAGGAAGCTGGTACAAAAAGATTAGTGTTCCCTGGGATATGTGATGCCCTGTTACTCTGATCTATGCAGCTTCTTTTCAGAAATCTCTGTCTGAGGCATTAATTCTTTCTTTTTGTTTAAATGTGTTACCTCCTGACGCTTGTTATTTCTTGTTACCTACTGTTATGAATGGTATAAAAAGTACTTACTTCACATACACTACATGCGTCTCTGGGCAGTATGGAAATGCTTTTCAAAAGATGTTTTTATGTAGTGTCATTTTATAGGATTTTCAGTATAATAAGCAGATTCACTTTAGCAGAACTGCATTTGTATCTCGGGTTGAAAATGTGCCAGGGAGCTGTCTATAAGGAGTAACTTCTGGCTCTTTCTAGTTGCTTCCTCTAGGGCTACAGCTCTGCAGGCCCAATCAACTTTCTGTCGTTTTGCTGGTCACAGTCACCATAAATATGTTGTTACATGAAAAAAAATTAGTCATTTTTTAAACACATAAGTGAAGTTTCTTTAAAATTTTATTGAAATTATTAATTTAAAACAACCATGTGTGCTCAAATTATAAACCAATTTAAAAGCTAAATATTTGAGATACCATGACCTTCTTGCCTTTCTTCAAGTACCGTACACAAGTTTTCTTCTAAAGCAACCTGTTAAGAGGCTTTTTAAATGCCTTCATGGTAGCATCATTCTTCTTTCATAAAAGTATGTGTGTCATAAGAGTATGTGTGTCTTGTGTACTGTGTTGGTAAATATGGAGGCATATTACTCCTCTGCTGTAAGGCTCTTAGCACACTCCCATATTACTTTCTCTGTAACTTCACATTATTTATTATGTTTACTTGGAGCAGCAATTCTTATCTCTTGATTGGACGCTGCTTTTCTAACTCAAAATGTACTTATATCTTTTCTGCATGGTCTCTTCTCCCCAACCAAAAAAGGGCAGGATGAAGTAACTCTTAAATTATAAGCCCCTCCTTTCTTCTCTTTTTTAACTGTCAAAACTTGATGAAATGCTCTTAGTGTGACTTAATTTTCATTGCCTCACCTGTTAATTAGCCCCTTTTGGTGGCCCAGAGGTAAGAAGCTGCACTGCAAACCTCCAGGCATACAGTTTGAATCCACCAGCTGGTGAGAGAGAGATTGAGAGAGAGAGGGAGAGAGAAAGATGGGCTTTCTCCTTCTGTGCAATTTACTTCCTCGGAAAACCCACTGGGAAGTCAGATGTGGGACAGTTCCAACTGGATGATACACAGTAACAACAATATAATCCATATTCAGGGACTTCTGATACCTTAGTGGTAAGGATGGACACTTTTTTAAGGCACAAGTTTTGAATTCACCACTTGCTCTGATTAATTGCCTCTGAAAATCTACATACTTTGGACATGTTTTTAGGATGGGTCAGGCCTTGGCAAAGCAGCAACGATGACTTTCAGGAAGCTCTGGTGACATAGTTGATAGGGAGTGTCACTGCTAACCCAAAGGCAGATCTGTTTGGTGGTTTGGATCCACCAGCGGCTCTACTAGAGAAAGATGAACAGCCCTTCTAGGCAGTTTACAGTTTTGGAAAATTGCCTGGAGTGGTATGAGTATCATCAACTATGGGTCCATTCCAGCAGCAGCAATAGCCTACTTTCAAGGAAGCAGTGTCTAACTTGGCTAAGAGAAACTGAGACTGGTGTTAAATGGAATTCTCCTATGGATAAAATTATTATAGTCTTAAAAATAAGTCTTTTTTCTTTTAAATTTTTTTTAATTGTTGACATTTTCTCCTCCATTCTCCCTCCCCTTCCCCACTGCATAGTGCACCCCTTGTTTGAGATTGTTGTGTACATATAATGTCTAATAATATATTCCTTTTGGATAGTTCCCCCCTCATCTGTTCTAATGTGTAAAACATGGTGTAGTTCAAATTACAACCAACTCAGAAAACTTTTCTACTAATGGTCAAAATTTTTATTTTTATGTACACCCATGTTTACTGCTATGTTATTCACCACGGCAGTGGTGGAAACAACCCAGGTGACCATCAACAAACAAATAGATAAAAAAACCATAGTACATTCACACAATGGGATATTGCACGGCACTAAAAAACAGTGAATCTGTAAAACACAATATAACACGAGGAAACCTGCAGATCATTATGCTGAGTGCAAGCTATCTGGCACTAAAGGACAAACACTGCTATAAAAATAGGACTGACATAAGGAGGTTGGGGAGAGAATGGGGAAAGAGTGGATAGATAAAGAACTTAGAAATGATTCTTTGTATCTTCTTCTTTACTGTGAAGCAGAAATCAAAGAACAGTCTGCAGAAGAGGATGCTGAAGCTGAAATGGACAACAAGCCACCAGTTCCACTGCTTCAGAATGCTGTGTCTGAAGAGTCTGCAACCGCCATGGTTTCTGTTGGTGTGGAAGCCAAAATCAGGTTAGAGCGGGGCAGCAAGAGATTGAATGTTAGTGATGAGAACAATGGCCAGTGAGTTGGACACGTGAAGATTCAGGGAGCATAAGTTTAGGATGTAAGTTTGCATGGAATTTCATTATTTAGTAGCTTTAAATTGGAATATGGTGGCTTTTTGGATTGTTGAGAGAGAAAATACCTGTGTAGCTAGGTAATTTTGAGAAGAATAGGTTATTCCAGTCCTCTCAGACTAGTATCAATATCCTATTTCTAGCAGAAAAAGCGACTATGAAGTTTTAGCATAAAGATAATTTTTATATTTACCTGTAATCATAAGTATAATTCAGCTTTGAAGTCTTGTCTTTATTAGCAGTTTGATTGAGCTTTTTTTTAAAGACATGAATTGAAATAACCATGATTGTTTTCTTTTTCAATGTTCATTTATTTATTTGTTTGTTTTTTTGCCATTTTCTCATGTCTTATTCTGATTTTTGCTAGATATTTTACCTTTTATAATGGAGTCCTGAAGGCTAAGACATTTTGTATCCTGTCTGTGTGCTCATGAATTCCACATACAAATATTTCTGGGTACTTTTGGGATTTATTACCCATTTATCTGCTTGACATTTCCATTTGAAAGCATACCAGACATTTCACCCTTCATATTGTCAAAAATCATTCTTGAATTAGAGATTTAAAATTAAAATTAATTTGAACTTGTACTATTTACATGTAGTTAGACTGCTATTAGAGTAATCTTGTCTTTAATTTCCAGTTTTATTTGTAATAGAAGTTAGAATACATTTTTATTAATTCTTTTTTGTGTGGATATGACTGGTACAGGAGGAGATTGTCCCTCCTTCTCCAGCAGAGCATCTGTTGGATTCGAACTGTGTGCCTCTGGGATTGCAGTGCAGCTTTTTGCCACTAGGTCCCCAGAGCCCCCCTATTAGAATACATCTTAATGGTAAATGCATCTTAGAATTGAGAAGTAATTTTCTAGTTTTTATTAGAAATCTGATAGTCTAAGTCCACTTCTGGAATGCTTTGTAGCCTCTTTCTTAAATTTTTTGGATTAGTTTTGCCCCAGTTTCTTACCTTTGAGCCCTTATATACTTTGAATAGTGCCTCACATTGAATTGATTTTTATAAAGTACTTGTTGAAGAGTGAAAATTAAAACTTATTTATAAATCTATGAAAAATGTAATTTGTAGGAAGCATGACCTTTCAAATTACTTACAATAGATAGTTCACAGTCTATCTAAAAAGTAAAGTTATATTGGTGTTCACTATTCACTCACTAATGTTGACTCAGAACTGATACATCGCTGACCCTCCAAAGGGTTTTCAAGGTTATAAATCACAGGAGCCTGCTCATCTTTTCTGTGGTGGCTTTGAACGGCTTGAGAGGCATGACCTTTGGATTAGCAGCACAATAGCCCACACCACCAGAATTTTCTCACTCCACATAGAAGAATAAATTTGAATTGGATTCATAACTAATGTCAAAGTTATTTCTAGCTTTTCAAGTACACCATTGTCACCATAATTATTATTTAGACAAAAAAGAGAGACTACACATTCTGCTGATATCAGTATATTGTTAAGATCTGACCTTTTCAATATTTTTTGTACCCTTGTTTCCTTAAAATAAATCTAATAGGTTGAATTTATTATGTTTTAATTATTTAATACATAAAACAATAAGAGCCTTATAGATAATATATTATCATTAATAAAATTTTATCAACATTGTAAGATAGGAAATAAAAATACAAAATAATTTTTAATTCTGTACGCCAGAATACAAAATCATTTTCCACCAGAGTTCCCTATAATACAAAATCATTTTTATTTGTAGAAATAGATAGAAACAGTATTTCTTGGAATATTATTTTTTAATAGTTCAAATAATGTCCCATCAATAGTGAGAAAGTATATGTGTTCTCTCTATGGGAAAATTCCAGAACTTTATGAAAAGACATCATAGTAGTAGAAATAGTGCATTCATGTTTTAGAAAATGCAATACTTAAAGGTATTTATTACTTCCCATTTGACATATAGTCAAAAAAAGATCCTAATCAAAATTTCTATATTCTAAAACTTGACTAGCTGATAGAATTTTTTTAATATGCAAAAAAGACTGCATTAACCAAGAAAATCTCATGAGAAGAGGGCAAGTTGTTTTCATCAAATACTAAGTCCCAGTCATTTAGTAAATGAGGTATAACTGCAGGGGGAGGGGAGATCTGTGAAATGAAATAGCTAACCCAGAAACGGATACACAACTAATTTGGATAGGTTACAGAGTAACACCACACATCAGTGGGGCTACCTTTTAAAAATTGTTTGGGACAATTAGAGATCTTTAGTTTTTTGAAAGGATGTTAACTTTTTGTCATGTCAAATTTGAGGATATTACAGTCTTAAGTATGAAAGGCAAGTAAGGTTTATATTAATTAGTGTCAGGGAAATTTTAATTATGAAAAACTTTAAAAACAAAGAGAAGTAATTTATTTAAACAGATTGATAACTACTACTGCAATTAACTGAGACTTACTTGCATAGAAGATCCAAAACAATAGTGAAAATAAATTATGAAAGAGTATTTTTGAGGTGTGCATATGGCATAGGATTTGGATCTACAATGATTTTTAAAAATATTAAGTAGCAGCAATAACAAATAACTCTTACAAATGAGTTTCTAAATTCACAAAAAGGTAAAAAAGGTGTAAACACTACCTGATTGTGTCATACTCTAAAGTATACGATTAAGCTTCTTTATGTTCATAAAAAAATCTAAGTACGATTTTTTGTTCCAATCTTGAAACAAAATGATACTATAGTTTTCTTAAACGTTTTCTTAAAGATAGCAATTTACTTCTTCCTGGTTTGGAATAACTGGCATTTAAGATTCTCAGTCTTGTGGAGTTATTGGAAAGGAAACTTACTGCTCGTTGTTGTGATTATTAGGAGATGTTGAGTCAAGTGTGACTTGTAGTGACCCTGTGAAATTAGATCTAAAGTCTATCATATCTGGTGCCATTCTCATTTTCTCTGACACACATGAGCCCTTTGTTACACTCAGATTGTCAGTCCATCTTGTTGAGGGTCTTCCTTCTTCTCTTTCACTGATCTTTTCCCTTTTCCAAGCACAATGTTCCTTCTAGAAATATGCCTAAAGTGCTAGTTTGTAATGTTGTGTTCCAACCCATAGCTGACCCTCCAGTGGATTTTCAGAGGCAGTTAATCTCAGGGGAGGAGATTGCTCATATGGAATTGAAATAGAATAGAAATAGAAATAGAATAGAATAAAAGAATAACATAACAGAATAGAATAACAACAGAATAGAATAACATATATAATAGTATATTATATAATATTTCTCTTAAAACTTTTGAAAAGAATTGGGTTTTCATTTTGCAGATCTGCTGTTTGTGCTTATCTGTATTGAATTCTGTCTGCTTTTATTCTTTCTCCTTTCTTTTAGAGTCTTGGTTACTTTTCCCCACCATTTCTTGTAGAAAAAGCTTAACTCATTTAATGTCCCTTTTTATGGACATTTTTGTAAGTCTGTAAGCTTCCTTCAGAAAGATCTGGTGACATAGTGGGTAAGGAGTTATGTTTTCGGTACAGAGGCAGGCATTTCAAAACCACCAGCTGCTCCTCAGCAGAAAGATGCGTAGTGACCTCCTGGGTGATTTATAGCCTCTGAAAAAACAACTGGAGGGGCAGCTGTGAGTCAGCTATAGCTGGATGACACATACCATCTCCAACAACTTCCTCTCAGTTCAGGCCTTAGTTGCATCTTACATATTTTTGCATTTAATATTTTCATGATCATTTAGTTCTGAATATTGAGATCTTTATTTTAATCCAAGAGTAATTTAGCATATATTTCCTAGTTTCAAATATTGAAAAATTTTAGTAACTTATAAATAAATATATATTCTTGTTTGAGATTTTTGCTTGTATATTATTGATCTTTTGGCACACTTCAGAGCTTCCTTTGTAGCCCAATATTTGTTATACTTTTGGAAGGTTATTTTTGGGGTTTTTGTTGTTGTTGTGTACCACTGAATCTGATCCAACTGGCACAAGAGGAGCATCTGGTGGATCCAAACCACATATCTTTGGGATTGCAGAGTAACATCTTGCTCCCTTTTGGAGTATTTAAAAATATGCTTGAAATGAGTGTGAATTATCTATCATTTGTATGTAGAAGTTTATTCATTTTCCCAAATTTGTTTATATTTGCATAATGATTTAGAAGTAATCAGTAATAATGTTAAGTATGCTTATTTTTTGTCTGCTTTGTATAGTTTTTTCAGAGAAAGGCATTAAAATCTTATGCATATATCGGGATTTTTTCTGTCCCATTTGGTATTGTATAGTAATAGAGTCATTGTTGATGTGTACTATAGTCAGTACCAACCCATAGCTGATCCTCTGGTGAGTTTTCAGAGGCAGTTAATAAATAGCACAGGAGGAGATTGCCCATTAGTCTACTGTTATATATAATACTAATATGTCGTTGTTGTTGTTGTGTGCCTTCGAGTTGGAGCTGATCCATTGCCCTTCACCTGGTTTTCAGAGGAGCATCTAGTGGATTTGAAACACATACCTTTGGAATTGCAGCCAAGCCACCAAACTACCCAGAGTACTAATTATTACAATTATTAGTATTCATTCTATGTCATAGTTTATCCATATCCTAGATAAGAGACATTTGTGTAGTTTACAGCTTTTGGCAATTATAAATAGCATAAACAGATACTCACTATAGCTTTTGGTGTGGATAAGATTTTTAGTTCATTTGGTGAAATACTTAGTATTTTAGTAGAAAGATAATTTTAAGGAAACTATCAAACTGCTTTCTAGCCTGGTTGTATTATTTTGTGTTTTTACCAGCAGTATATGGGAGTTCTAGTTGCTCCACAAACCTCTCTTGGTATTGTCAAGTTTTTTAATATGGGCCTTTTGTTTCGACATTATTGTAAATAATGTTATTAGTATTGTGATTTTGATTATGTTTTCTCAGTGATTTTGAGTTTTTTAATGTGTTTACATTA